GTAGTAAATCAAGATAGTAAGGACCAGATATTTCATTACTTTTATTTCACGATTGGGTCTAGAATTTTAGATTCAGGTATGTTCATGAACAAATTTTCAATTATTAGATAAACATTGAATTTGCATCAGAAAATCTGTTGTGAAAATACATATATTCTATATGTATATAACAAAATCCTAATAAAAAACAGTAATTAGGTATATAATAAGCTATGTTTTTCTTAGTGCTTTAGAGCCCAAGTTAATTTTTCCTGTACAAACACTGGAAACCCTTTCAGAACTTTAATGCAATATGTCTAGCTATCTTTAATGCTGATTTTATAACTTCAGGATACTGACTTTTGAGTGAAAAATTTGAAGTTGATTTCTTAAAATGCTGCAAAGTGTGGTGAAAGTGGGGGAAGAATTGTAATGTCATGGCATGCTAGATGCTTTAGATCCCTCAAAGCAAACCTGCAAATAGATAGAGAATCATGTGAGACCATGACTGTCGGAGCCCTGAGGTTGATGTTCATACCTTTTTTCGTTTACTATAGTATACGTACAAAGTGAATGAATGATTTGTAAGAAGACATTTGCCCCATTTTTTTAATCTTTAAAATTTGTCATGAGTGAACCTTGTCAATCTTGAGGGTTGTCAATCTTGAGGGTTATGTAGTCTGTTTTCAGAAAAAGTATAGAATAGATTTTAGAATATATATCCCAATAAATAAGTAAACATAAGTTCATAATCAGAATTTTCCGCTGAAACTACCATCCGTTATGCCCATTCCTTCACTGGTGGTTTGGTACTTTTTCTTCGGGAGTGATTAAGACAAGAGGAAAAAGGTAGATAAATTATAGTTGCTTAGATCATGGGCACATGCTTGTTGTTTAATGTATCCTTTTGCTTTACTGAGGAAGCATAAATTCACTGAAAGAACCTAAATGCCGCTGAGATGCTTTTTTCATAATATTCGTCTTGGAGCAACTGGAGAGGAGGCACAGGGTCTCTGTAGCCATCTGTTTGAGTGATAGTCTTTCAATCAGGCTTTCATTGTCTTTCTCACTTCACAAGACAAAGCTGATTTTTTTCATAATTAGCCTTAATCAAGAATTTGGACCACTTCTTTTTCCAGGAGAGGACAGTATACATAAAATAATGAAGCTTTTATCATACTATCTAACCCTTTCTCTGTTACATCCCAAAGTATGTGATGTGATTTTTTTTTCTTCTTAACCAATACATGTCTTTTTATTTATTTGTCTGTTAAAAAAAACTTCATCCTCCAGCAGGTACAGTCTTAGACTATTTCTTTTACACCTTGTGCCTTGGGGAGGCTGTCTCTGACACGCACAGGCACTATATGTGTTGTGGACTAGCTGGTAATGAGTCGAACTAGGAAAGCCCCTACATGATGGCCAGGCTCCGTGTTGATAGTCAGGCAGCGGCAGTGCAGTAGGGCAGGGGGGCAGGTTCTGATTTGTTATTTCTTTGTCCCTGCCCCCTTAACTTCCCCATTAGAGTGGCTTAATATGTTTATCTCTTTCCTTAAAATGGAAATTTATGCTAAATTTAATATAAACTTAAACTCGTATCTCGTGAGGAGGATGTAGCTGCATTAAAATATGTAGAATATCTCTTCTGTACTGAATATCCAGTGTCTAATAATAACTCTTCTTTACTAAATCTTGCTAGCAGAGGCTCAACTGGTGGTGGTAGAAGTACACCTAAGGCAGAAGAGAAGGCTGTGCAAAAGTTCTGCTTTGACTTAATTCAGGGGCACATTTAAGTAAATTAAAATAGTCAGGTGGTAAATCCCTATAGTGAATTTATGTTCTCTACTTTGAGTAATTATTTGGTATGGCTTCAAGCTGTTAGATTATGTTGGTGCATGCACATTTAGGGGAAGAAAACCAATAAGGAATGGTCTTAAGCACAAGTAAATTATTCGGGGGCAAACATTTTTCCTGATTACTTTTCTACCTGGAAGCTTGTGACTTACGAGAAAAGTCATAAAGAAACTGAAATTGGAGGCTCTAGGGTAATAGAGTAAGCATTTTAAGTGGTAAAACCTTCAGCTGCTTTGTAATAAAAGATTCCTCATCTTGTGATTGAGTTGCTTAGGTGAATTCATGTATTTATACAAAGTACAGCATTTCCAAGTGTTTAAGGACATAGCTTTTTTTTTTTTTGGCTGGAAAATTGTAAAGACTGTAAGCATGATCCCTAGTCACCCAGAGCTTTGAATTCTGGCTCTATTGCTTTTACCAAGAGTGGGATGCGAGCCTCATTTTCTTATCTGTAAAATAGGGGTTATAAAAACCAACCTCAGGGAAGGTGTTCAGGGTTGAATATGATAGTATCATGTTTCACATTTGAATATGAGAGTAATCACTGATGATTTCAGTGTGCGCAGTTCACAAAGTACATTTGGCCAGCATTCCTTTTCACATCGCACACAAGTGAATGTTATTCTTTAACTTGGTAGTTGTTATCTGCTGAATCTTACAGCCATTGCCATTTCTGCACTCTGCAATGTCTATGAGCATTTATTCAAAAGGTGTCAAACAGTGTGTTGCTGTTGCACAGTGTAGTGTTATCATGGGCTTTTTGAAGGTGTTGTTTCATGTCTTGACCTACTACAGTTTGCTTTTGTAATGCGATTGTGGTTTTTTGTTTGTTTGTTGGTTGGTTGGTTTGTTTGTTTGAGACAGAGTCTCGCTCTGTTGCCCAGGCTGGAGTGCAGTGGCACAATCTTGGCTCACTGAAAGCTCTGCCTCCTGGGTTCACGCCATTCTCCTGCCTCAGCCTCCCAAGTAGCTGGGACTACAGGCGCCCGCCACTGCACCCGGCTAGTTTTTTTGTATTTTTAGTAGAGACGGGGTATCACTGTGTTAGCCAGGATGGTCTCGATCTCCTGACCTTGTGATCCACCTGCCTCGGCCTCCCAAAGTGCTGGGATTAGAGGCTTGAGGCACCGCGCCCAGCCACCCTGTACTGTGATTGTAGAAGTGATGCTAAACAATCGCTTGTCATCATTATAAGGTGCCACTGTAAGGTGAGAGGACAGCAGCTCACCTTGTCCTCACTCACAAAGGCCTTGGCATCTCACTGTGAAGAGAGCTGCTGCTGTTGGTTTGGGTGGCAAGAGCAGCCAGGAACATGTGTGACTTTTGTAGGCCAAGTGGAAGGTCAGCATGTGTCCAGCTGGTGCCAGGCTTCTTCCCAAATCGCTGGCACATAGTGCGTTAGCAGTAGATGACCTGTTTGAAGGAATTTGTGCATGAATGGATGAAGTCAAATGTAGCGTTTATATTTTTTATGTAATCAAGCCACTTTCTTCTAAACTGGAGGAATTTCCTATAAAAATTAGCTTTTCAATGAAGAATGTGCCCATGCCCTGTGGGTTTTTTCTTCTGAAACTGTTACAGGATCCCACAGAAGCTCAGTCACACGATAAGTAAAATCGTACTACATCTTTAACATTGTGTATTTAGTCTATCTTCTGCTTTGCGCGTCAGTTTTTACGTATTGAAACATTCCATTTTTTAGAGATGGTAATTATTACACAATCCTTTTTTTCCCTAAGTTATATCCCACTTGTACTTTTCAACCTTTGGGGTTTTTTTGTTTTGTTTTCATGTTTTCTAAATATGAAGGCTTCATTATTTTCCATCTATGATTTAAGGACACTGGCAGTCTTCCAAGTCATATGAGAGCCGGAGAACATGAAAAATCTGCAGCATCCTGCGCCTAATAATTTTTGTACTTACATATTTTTGTTCTTTTTCAGTTGGCTTAATTTTTTATGCTTTCTTACGCTGCATCTCTTTATTCTTACAATCTTACGTATTTGGAGCACCCTAGGACTTCTCATTCATGAAATATATACCCTTTCACTCTACCTAAACTCCTCCATAAATGCTGGTGTAGGTTCCAGAAATATGAATTAAAAAGTTGAATGATCATTCCTAGATTAAATGGCACATCATTCTCTCCCTTACCAAGCATTTTCCGTGATGTTTTAGATTGCAGCCTGATTGGGGGGACGTCAAATTTGTGTGTTCTCTAGAATTAGTGCTCAGTGATGACGTTACTAATTTGGAATTTTGTAGTTGAAGTTTGCCTTTGCCCACAGCCTTTTGTATTACTAGTCAGTGATAAGCAGGGCTCCAGGCAAGAATATCCTCTTCCATTGTACTTTGCCTTGTGCTGTATACTGCCATAGTGATTCCTTTCTCGTCCCTCCCTTCCTTCCTCCTTCCCCATTTGAAAATTTGGTAAAACCTCAGATTTATGGGTTGAAAATTATCTGGGGTCAGTGAAAATATAATATCAAATGACACCAAATCAATGAGAACCATCTTTCTCTAAGACTTCAAGATATCCACAAACTGTACTTTGCATCTCCCAGGTAGTGGGCCATGTGAGTGCAAGAGTCCTGATTTCAAATCCTAGTTCCACAGGTTGCCAGCTGAGTTATGTAAACTCCTGAACGATCAGTGTTTTCAGCTGTAGAATGATACCTTATAAAATGGTTGGGAGGATTCAGTGGGATACTATCTGTAAAGCAGTTAGCACATAATAAAGATCTCAAAGTGTTAACTAATTTTTTATTATAATTACTAGGTAGACTCATAATTGAATGGCTGTATTTCATTGCTTACATTTGTAATGTTACATTTTCAGGAATTTAATGTCATCATAAAAAATCAAGAGCATTATTAAAATAAAAATATTATCTTTAATCAGTGTGTTGAATGTAACTTATTTATATATTCATTATGTAAAAAGAATGTGACCTGTGTAGGATTTTCATTAGGTGAAAATGAAACTCAATGTGATTTTCATTAGAGTTGTGCTTCTTCCTGAAGGTAGAACTGAAAATATAGCTTCCTTTATTATTTCATTTTATTAATGCATAATAGAAAGTGAAAAAGAAAGTGAGAAGGAAAAAAAGCATGATGGATTTGAAGGTGAAACAAATGCAATACTATGATTTAACTCTTCTCTTTAGATCTTTTAGAGAAATCTCGGGTTGTTAAACAGCCAAGAGGTGAAAGAAACTTCCATGTGTTCTATCAGCTGCTCTCTGGTGCCTCTGAAGAGCTCCTCAGTAAGTCTGTGTTTCTGTGGTGTTGTTGTTGTTGTTGTTGTTGTTGGAGCTGGGAGTCTCACTATGTTGCCCAGGCAGATCTCTAATTCCTGAGCTCAAGTGATCCTCCTGCCTTGGCCTCCCGGAGTGCTAGGATTACAGGCCTCGTGCCTGAATTGTTTCTGTGTTTTAATTTTCAGTGTCACAGCACTTTCTGACGCATTCTTTTTAAAACATACTCCCTATGCTTTGCCCCTTCCTTCTCAAGAATTTTCCATGATTCTAGTTGAAGTGAAGAACATGGTGTGTTTGCTTCTACCACACGCCAGGGTATGTGTAATGTTCCTGTACCTCACCAGATACTGTGCCATACATCTCCGATGTGTTGAGGACTGTGCAGATGATTCAGTCGACACAAGTGGGATTTCAGCAGCTAGAACTACCTCAGTCTGGACTTGGCCAAAGCCAATTAGTAGGGCAGGGACTGATCATACATTTAAAATATAAAATGGAAGAATATGTTTTTTCTCTTTGGGGAGAGAAAATTATCAGCGTTCTAATTACATGAGTACAATTATATAAAAACAAATTGTTAGGCGAATATTTAAAAATAGTGGAGAAGACATTTTGCAGTTGATACAAGAGATAAAAATCTGGCCTTTGGAATTTTAGAGAATTAGCATAATTCCACAAAGATACTATCTAATACCCAATAGCTAAATGATGAAAAGTAGTGAACAAATAGTTCAAACAAGAAGAGCTATGAAAAGTCAATACCACTTAGGAAAAGTCATCTTCACTAATAATCAACAAATGCAAATTAAAACAGCCCTGAAGTATCTACTGTGCATGTATTATAAGGATCAAGCTAGCAGAGTTGTCACTGATCTGCTTGGAGCTTGTGGGTGTTACTTCAAAGCGAGGACCTCTTACAATTAGAGGCTGCCATCCAGTCACACCACTTTTTGGACTATATTCCAACAAAATAATTCAAATGAATCCAAAAAACAATTGGTATGAAGACATTTATCACTGCCCTATATTTATTATTATAAACTAGAGAGAACCCAAATATCCAATGGTGAAGGAGTCACCAGGCAGACATCATATGTTATAATGAAATAATACATTGAAGATATTTTTTATTATAAAAACTTGAAAGAGACTTATCTAGATAAGTGTAAAACAAAGTGTGCTATCACAGTGATAAAAGTCATTTTAAGAATATGCTGTTACTGATATTTGGGTATAATTTTTGTTCTTTTGATTCAGTACTTAATCCCAAAGCCATTTTACCGATGTGAACAAGATATCAAAGGGAATGAGATATTAAAGATTGGATTTATTGAAGCAACTTAACAACTTGTGTCTTTGATTCAATAGATAAACTTAAGCTTGAGAGGGATTTCAGCAAATATAACTACCTGAGTCTGGATTCGGCCAAAGTGAATGGAGTGGATGATGCAGCAAATTTTAGAACCGTGCGGGTAAGATGTAGTACTTTCATCAAGCTTTAAACTGCATGCCACTGCATTGCTCAGCGGGAACTGGTAACAATTCTGAGTTTTCTTTAAAGTGTAGCTCATTCTCCCTAAGGTTTTAGAATTATACAAGAATTCTATTTTTGTTACTTTGATTTTTTTACTAGCTCAAAAATCACACAAGATTGTGAAGGCCATGCTTTTATTAGAGCGTGTGATTTTACCATTTATCATAAGGAGCTTTCTTATTATATTATCCTAGGGTTTGACTCCTTTAAGGTTATTTTTAAATTCCAAATGTTTTTTATGGCAAAAGTTAATTTCCAACTGCCTTTGGATCATGTTAAATCAAAACTATTTTTGAGACAGAAAAAAATCTCATTTTTATACAGTTTTAGAAACTCATATATAAACCAGAGCGATTAGCATTCCACATTCATTAGAAAAGATGATTTTAAATAACACTGTACTCTGTTTTCTGTCTTAATGTGTGATACACTAGACATGATGTGGTAACTGGGATTTACTTGCAAATGAGACAGCTGTGGTGATGGGGAAAGGGGAGAGTAGGATGAATTATAGATAAAACAAAATTGGCATCCGTTAATTGTTGAGGGTGAGTGAAAGGACATGTGGGTTCTTTCCCTGCTCTCTCTACTTTTGTATATGTTTGACAACAATAACAAAACCTTGCATTACTCCCATTGCTATGTAGCCTAGCCATTTTTAAAAAGCCAGCTGTTCTCAAAAAGAAAGTATCTCTTAGAGTATGTCATTTTAGAAAACTATATAAACATCTTCATATGGAAGCAATAGTCTGTTGATCCCTGGACATGATTTTGTTTAAACCTTGAGTCCAAGACCGGTTTTAGAACCACTTTACTGGCACGTAATTAGCACTCCGTAAAAATTTATGAATGAACAGATGCCTCCTGTTACCCAGTATCTTGGGCTGGGCACTTCACCTTTGCAACCCACAGTTTTTCTGATATGTAAAATGAATGAGGAGCTTTTCTTTGTATGGAGTTGTGCAAGTTGGTTTTGTTGCTAGTAGCAAAACCTCAGTGTAAAAAAACAACATATATACAAACTGAGCTGCTGTGGTTGAAGTGGAGGTGGACACCCAAGGCTCTGCTCTCAGCCTCCTGTTTCTTCTGTCTTCCTCTTTACATGCCCTCCCAATCCCCACCACAGCACCAGAGGTCCCCCAGGGTTCCTCGAATCACAGTTGGAAACCACTGAACTCGATATAGCTTTGTCTTTTATGAGGTTTTTTCCCCCAGAAATAAATCTGTAATATGATTCATTTAAAAAAAAAGAAAAGAACAGAAAAGAAAAGAACTATGGGAAAAAAATACTTGCTTTTTTTTTCTCTCCCCAGAATGCCATGCAGATTGTGGGCTTTATGGATCATGAAGCTGAGTCTGTCTTGGCGGTGGTGGCAGCGGTGTTGAAACTGGGGAACATTGAGTTCAAGCCTGAATCTCGAGTGAATGGTCTAGATGAAAGCAAAATCAAAGATAAAAATGGTACATCCGCGGAGAATCAACTTTGTTTAGGAAACTTGCTTTGAACTTCTGCCCAGTTTTTAATGTAGAAAGTAAAACTTCTGCTTTGCATTGGTGTGAGAAAGCTTTCTAATGAAACTGAGCAGAAATAGAACTATGGCTAAGCTTTGTTTTTTGATGCATACATTTTATACTGATCTGTTTGATTATGATTTAGAAAGAACATCCTAAGCCTTCAAAATTATTATTAGCAGCACGTGTACAGTCACTTTTTGTGTCCATCCCCCACCTTCCCACAGAGTTAAAAGAAATTTGTGAATTGACCGGCATTGATCAATCAGTTCTAGAACGAGCATTCAGTTTCCGAACAGTTGAAGCCAAACAGGAGAAAGTTTCAACTACACTGAATGTGGCTCAGGTGGGTGAAACATAACGTACAGAAGAAAGTTTCTTAAAAGTCTGTGCTATTTTCATATAAGTATAAACAAAGATTTTAGTTTACAGGCTGTTATCTCAATCGTTGTACTATGTTCCAGGCATTGGCAACAGAGCAGTAAACTAAACATAAGGATCCCTCCCCTCATGGAGCTTAAAATTCTGGTAGAGGGAATTAGATAATAATCAGTAGACATAAGAAATAAGTGCTGTAGCAAACTAGCCCATGGTAAGATCAGTGAGCTCCCTGGGCCAGGGAAGGAGACTCGAAGTGAGGTGGGAGATGACTGGAGGGTTTTGAGCAGAACAGTGGCATGACTGCCTTGTATTTCAAAGGGTCACTGTGGCTGTGATGTGGAGAGCAGAGGGTCGGGGAAAAAGGAGTGAAAGCGAGGGACCTTCAAGGAGATGTGCACTAACCCAGAGAAGATGGTGGCTTGAACCAGGTAGTTGCAGTGGAGTCAGTGAGAAGTGGTCACATTGTGGATGTTATTTGAGGGTAGAGGCAACAGGACTTGCTGGTGCTAGCTGGTTTAAGAGAAAGAGAACAATCAAGGGTGATTTAATGTTTTGGCCCGAGCAACTGGAAACATGGAGTTGTCATTTACTGATTTGGAGAAGACAGCGGGAGAAGACAGTTTTGTGGTCAAGTGGCCAAATTGGCCTCCCTGCCTTGCTTCTTGAACCCCCTCTACCCTTGATATTGGGGCCAGTGAAGTCATTAGTCTTTCTAAGACACAAATCCGAGCTGCTGCCTTCTCTCCGTTTGCTTCAGGTTAAGTGGGTGGATGTTTGGGTGGTTGCATGCCTGTGTACATACGTGTATACCCAGGCAGCTTCTGCAGCCCTTTCACTAAAACCCTTTGTGCTATGGCTTACACATTTTCCCACCAGTCAATGACTCAGACTGGAATTAAATTACTAACTTAGGACTTCCACTCAGGCCCACTTTGTCCAACTGTATTCTTGTTGTCTCATCCTCCTTATAACTATCCATAAAGCCTCCATAAATAGTAGGGTGGAGCCAGGCTTGCTCTCTGTTGCTGAACCAGCCTTTCCTACTATAATGCAAGAATGCCTTTGTGTCCTTAGCTGTCAACGTTGATATCTTATTTTAGGTGAGTTATTTTGGCTGTGGCAAATATCATAACTTTATATATATGGAAATTTGGTTTGTAGCAATCCTTTGCTAGCTATAGCCATTGCCTGTCCTTCCTCCTAAATTACTGCTTTTGCTGTCATATCTGTCTAAGTCATCCTCACTAATTCACAGTCAGATATGGAGTAGCTTACTTAATTAAGAAAATGCTGCTGAGAGCGTGTACAGCACAAGCCCACACATAGGCCATGAGTAGGGAAGTAAGGGATTAGGGAAGACCTCATGGAGACAATCAAAGGATTTAGATGTGTGAAGTATGGCTGAAAGGGCATATCAAAAAGAAAACATTGAGAAAAGCCAGGTTTGAGAACCTGGATTGATCAGGCTTGGCTACAGCTGTAGCTATGTGAAGGGAGTCAGAGCAATGTGACTGGAAAGGTGAAGTCTGCAGTCAGAGTGGCAAATCTGCAACAGTAATTCTTAAACTTGAACGTGCATCAAAATCACCTGGTGGTTTTGCAGACCTCACCCCCAGTGTTTGATTCAGTGGGTCTGGGGTAGGACTGAGGAATTTGCATTTCTTATAAATTCAGAGGTGACACTGCTGCTGCTGCTGCTGCTGCTTCTGCTGCTGCTGCTTCTGCTGCTGCTGCTGGTCCAGGATCACATTTTGAGAGCCACCGAGTTTGGACATTTTCAATAGCCAGAGTGGGAATTGTTAAGTCTGTAAGGAAGCCATGAAAAAGCCTGTATTGTTTAAGAAGGCCCTTTAGGAATGTGTATATTTTGGGTCTTTTTAAAATTGTGTGTTTTACTCTTGCTTTTTTAATCATCCTTTATGGGAACCAGGCCCAGGTACCTCTGACTTTCTAAGCTTATTTTAGGCACCTTACATCACTGAAGAAGACTTTCCACATTTTCTTAACCTTTGGCATAAAAGAATTTGACTAGAGATCCTCAGCTATTCGGCTCGTTAGTCAACTGGGTTTTTTGCTTTGTTTTGTTTTGTTTTGTTTTTTATGTAGTATTCAGAGTATCCGGTTCCACTGATCTATTGTCTGGGAGGTTTTGATTCCTCTGAAAAGTGATTCGTTTTACTAGCCTTTCCTCATAGTTTCAATTCCTGGGCCCCAGCATCACCTTTATTGCCCCATGCCTCCTTTTCCCAAGGCGTTTAGACCTTTCTCTAGATAGGAGGACTAATACTGAAATAATAGAAACTCAAGACAAGAGCTTTTCAGCTTCTCCTAAACACTCTTTCCTTGGCTTCTGATGTCCTCTGAAATCTGATCCCACACAGCTTACCTCAGTTTATTCCTTGCTAGTTCTCTGTTACCTGGTGCCTCTGCTCCTGCCTGCCCGTCGCCCCCCATGCCGTGCTCATTCCTTCTGCCCATCTAAATGCTCTACCTGATTGTGCCCCATCCAAGGAGACTTCTTTGATCAAATAGGCCTCCTGAGAACCCCCTTTTCTTTGCAGTTTGGCACCTGCCCTCTGCTTATTTCCTCTGTGTTAGTTTGATCTCCTTAGCTCACCTCTAAACTCCTGGAGGGTGGGCCCCATGTCTGTGCATCTCTGAGTCTCCACCTTGCTTGTCACTTGCCGTCCTGGACCATGCCTGTTGTTACTGTCCATGTCTGCAGCACATTCCACCTGGACTTTTCCTCTGTGAGTTCCGTGCACCTGCAGAAGTGCATGGTCTTTTCATAGTGTGCTTTGAAACTGAGATGGTGAATTAGTGCACTTTGAGGCTTCCCTCATTTCTACACACCATATTAGTGGTCCTTAAGTGGGAATAGACATTCCTTCCCTTACTGCTTTATAGGATATTGTTGTGGAGATTCGGTGGCATGAATCAGGCTCAGGAAGTCAGGGGCGGCACATTGGCAGCTAGGTGGCAAATTGGCAGCCCCTAGGGCCAGGTAAAGCTCAATATTTTTATTTGACTAAAGGGTAGTATTTTCTTTGGTTTTGTTTGCTCTTTAAATGTTGAATTTGAGTGCCTTTAGCCTGGAATGCATCCTCTAACCCCGACAGAGAGAGCCATCATTTCCTGTTCATTTCTATCACACAGTCCCTGGAAGCATTTGAGTTTGAGACCCCTGGAATAAATACTGTTGAAGGAACCAAAGAAGATTAATATTGGCTGTTAATACACTTTAAAAAATATAAAGCAGTTTACCAGAAGAAATTGTCACTGTTAGTTCAGTTGCTTATTGAAATGGTGGCTTGTTGAAAGTAGGCAGCATATAACTAAAAAAGCTGGATGACATTAAGATAAAAAAGGGCTCATCAACAAATACATGGTGTTTTGAGATAACTTCAATTCATAAGAAAAAGGAAAGGATTTGGAAATTATCTCGGCTCATGAGGTAGTAGTAGACGAAAAGGATACTTCAGAAAGCAATATAAGTACATCTGTAGATTAACTGTGTACTAGGCATTATTCTAAGCACTTAAATGACCTATTTTAAGAAAGTAAAAACTAGAAGAAAGGGTACTGGGGAAAGATGCACCTAAATTATATTCTGATTTCTCTGTTTGAGCATTTGACATGCATTTTCTGCTATGGAAGCATTCCCTCCCTTGTTTGTTTGTTTGTTTGTTTGTTGCCAACTCCTAGGTATATTCTCTAACCCTAATTGGAGTAGGGAGGGAGGTTTGGAATTTGCATGGAAATGTCAGATGAAGGGAAAAGGTGTATCTTCAGCTGTGTTATGTTGCCAGGGAAGTGAATGTGTTAATTAAAGTTGTTACATTTTATTTAGGAAGAAATGTAGAGAAAGTATTGCCACATAATCTAACAAAAGTTGTGCTTTTTGTAAAATAAAAATGTACTGATTAATTTTAATAGTAATACCCAACTTTTTACCTACAAGCAGCAAAATACACACATATGGCCAGCCCGTTGAAAATAGAAACAAAACCTCAAGCTTTTTCTCTCCCAAGGCCAGTTCCTTGTTAGGCTGCTGACACCCAACCTCCAGGCCTCCCCAGGATGCTGGTATTAAACATCTCATTAGTACTTACCTACTGTACGCTCTGGGCACTTGGTACATTTAAGCGTGTTTAGATTCTGCTGTCCAAACCTGACTTTCTCCAGCCTTTGGATTCTAAGAGTCATAGAGATGCATATGTCTTCTGCCTCTTTGTCAAGTAGTTATGAATAGCTTTAAAAGTAGATAAGCACATAAGAAGGGGGTTATGTTCATTCTATAACTTAAAAGAACGCATTGTGGAAGTTTTTTTTTAATACTCAAACGATTAGTGTGGCCAGGCGTGGTGGCTCATGCCTCTCTAATCCCAGTACTTTGGGAGGCTGAGGTGGGTGGATCACCTGAGGCCAGGAGTTCAAGACCAGTCTGGCTAACAAGGCGAAACCCTGTACTAAAAATACAAAAATTAACCGGGCGTGGTGGCACATGCCTGTAGTCCCAGCTATTCAGGAGGCTGAGGCATGAAAATTCCTTGAACCCAGGAGGCGGAGGTTGCAGTGAGCTGAGATTGTGCTACTGCACTCCAGCCTGGGCAACAGAGTGAGATTCTGTCTCCAAAAACATTTAAAAATTAAAAAAAAGATTGAGTGAAGAAAAAAAATTTACAGATTCCATCAGTCAAAGACATTTTAATATATCTCCTTTGAATTTCCATTTCTGTGATAAGGGTTTTAAAAAATGTTACCATATTAAGTATACAGTTGTTTAATTTTCACATTACATGAGCATTTCCATTTCATTACCTGATTTTCACAACCATCGCTCTCTGATGACTATGTAACATACTCTCAGTGCATGTTTCTCTTACTACCCCCTATTGTTGGACTTCTAAATTGCGTCTGATTTTTCTCTGTTCCATGACATTGAAATAAATATCTTTGTGGTGAAAGTTTTTTGCAGTATTTAAAATTAGTTTCCTGGTTTGTGAAAAAGTGTAACTGTGTATAAACAATTTGCCTCATTCTCTTAACAACTTGATTGTTTATGGCACAATAAAACTGGTTCTGCAAAGAAATGTGAAATAAAAGCGCTTTGAATATTTTTTTAAAAATATCTTTATGATTTTATTGAAAGTAAGCATTGTGGAATTGTGAGTGTTAAGTTTTGTTTATTTGTTTTTTAATAGGCTTATTATGCCCGTGATGCTCTGGCTAAAAACCTCTACAGCAGGTTGTTTTCGTGGTTGGTAAATCGAATCAATGAAAGCATTAAGGTACTGAATTTCTATGAGCAAAATCAGTTGTAATAAATGGTATTCACCGTATAAACATTAAGTTGAATAAAGTTTAAATTTATAATCAAATAATTGATTACTACTTATAAAGATTATTCCTTAAAAAGCGTTTACCATGTATAAGATTGAAATTGGTCAGGGATTTCGTTTATTTTGTTTTGCCATGTGTGTTGCTTCTGACTGGTGAATAGAGTTACTCTGGAGGTCGGCGCCACAGGTTCTGGCCTGGCTCACCTGCTAGCTAGTTGTACATACTTCACTGAAAAGGTCACTTTACTTCACTAGATCTTAATCTATTCATTATTAAAATGAAGGTGTTGGACTAGGTAATTTCGAAAGGCACCACTAATGCCTTCTTTAAATATATCACCTATTATTAAAATCTCTAAAAGTTCTATAGCAATGCCCCATCTCATAAGTTTTTTTAAAAAACAGCTAAATTACAGTTATTTTCTTACTTAAGAAACATGATTAACTTGTAATATGTATCTATGTTCCTTGGATGCTTGTAGTGTTATATTTCATGCCTTAATTAACCCTTTAATTTGAAACTTTTTTAAGGCACAAACAAAAGTGAGAAAGAAGGTCATGGGTGTTTTGGACATTTATGGCTTTGAGATTTTCGAGGTAAGATTTAAAAATTTTTTTGTAATGTCTTTAGTAAAGTGGAATGGTTGGAAATTAAATCCTGTCTTATATAGACATTATAAGTAACTGTAACTTTGAATCTACGAATCATCTTTGTGTAGATGCAACACACTATCACTTTGAATCTACCAAGTAATCTTTGTGTAGATGTAACAGCATTTGGTCGTGTATTCCTGCATGTGTGCCAGAGAGAGAGAGAGAGAGAGAGTGTGTGTGTGTGTGTATGTGTGTGTGTGTGTGTTGTGTATATGCTGAGAGCCAGCATTTTTGAGACAGTGCTGCTTAAAAAGAACTTGTATTAGTACCTGACTTGAAATTGCGTATTTAGATTTCTAACTGTGAGGCTTCCAGCAAGCTACATGAGTATGGCTGTGGCCGTTTGTGTGTTGTTTAGAAAGTGTGGCAGGTTGGTGCCATAAAGAAAGCCACAGGAGGGCTGGACACAGGTTCTGGCCTGGCCAGGGCTGGTCATTTCATCTGTGAGACTCAGGGAAAGAGGGTTTGGATTAGGTGACTTGTTGAGTCTCATCACTGTGATCTTATGATAATGAACGCTGCTGCAGAGGTTGCTGAAGCTCATAGTGAATTTTTTAAATGATTCTATGCTTGTTACAGATTAAGTATTTAAACCATTTGTGCTTGGTTGAGCAACACATATACCTAAAATTAGAATGATATAGAGAAGATGAGCATGGCCCCTGAAAAAAGTGGTTTGGAAAATAAAATAATCATTATGTACTTGTGTTAGAATTTCCTTTTTGCCCCCTTGCTAACTTTGACATTTAGAAGGAGTTTTAAGGATCTATTAAAACATTTATTCTCACTTTTAGGAGTGGCATTTTAGTTTGGTTCAGGGAAATAAGAAGTAGATCAGGCTCCTCATTTCTTAATTCTCCCCCAGAGGTAAGATTTGTGAATTTCTTTAAGGAACCAGGCTCTGTCCAGAATGTTCCCAAAGAATTTACATGTTCTAGAAAATTAGGGTCACAGAATCACAGAAAAAAAACATCAGATCATTCCTTTCACCTAAACCAGACCTTGCTAGCGAATGCCTTTTTCTTAGTATGTTCTCCCTCAATCGTATTCTATATTTAATTGTTAATGGTAAGTACTAATTGAGGGCCCACTCTTTGTAAGCATTGTGGCAAGTGGTGTGTGTATTGTCTGATTTACTTTTCAAAACAGCCTCATGATATAGCGGTTATTATTACGAATCCCATTTTACAGATGAGAAAGTAAAGCTCCCCAGGTCAAGTAACTCCCCAGGGGTATACAGCTACTTAGTGGCAGACTCAGCACCTAAACTCCAGGCCCTTTCAATATTTTCATTTATTGCTTTTCTTTCTTACTAAGATTGAGACCAGGGGCACTTCCTCACCTTTCTTCCCAAAGTAACAGGTTCCCCAGTATCTGGAAGTAAGAAAGAAATAAATATGGTAAGTCTCTTGACTCCCCTATTTCTCCACCCTCATCATCACTCCAAGCTCCTGGCCAGCATTGGGTGCCTTCCTAGATGGAAGTGTGTGTGCTGGTGGCTGTCCCCATGGGGTCCCCAGAACAGAGTTCTTCAACACAGCATCTGCTTGTATTGTTGCCCATTTAGCAGAATCTACAAAGGAAAGCTACCAATTCCTTGGTAGAAAGGGAAGAATTTGAGGTTTCTGAGTTAAGAGAAATGCTTGAGTACACTCAGAAATGACTGCCAAAATTAATTTCTTTCTAGTGAGACCTCAGGTTACTGTCACTAAATGGGCAGAGTGCCGAAGTCATTCTTTACAGTTGGCAGGGAAAAGGACTTACTACCTAACACATTGCTGTGCTGATGTAGATTTAAATGGTTTCACGAGCAGGGGAGATGGTAAGCAGAGATTTCACTGGAAAGTTAGATTAAGAAGATACATTCAATGACATTTCTAAAGTCAAAGAAACTGATTTTGTTTTAATTTTGCTAGAAAAAGATTATTGATCTTAAGCTAATGGGCAAGGGCTTAGTATCATGTCACAACACATGGAAACTTTAAAAAAAATAGGTTAATGAGATTATGATGGGATATCTAGTTAACTTTGTCTCCAGTAGGTCCTAAGATCTAATTAGCCCTGGGAAAAGAAATGCTTATAACACTCAAAGGAAACTGAGTTATAACTCATAAACAATTTGAGTCATTTCTCAAGCATTTATTGAGTTACCAGATACCAGTAGTAAACGTAACTAAGATATTCCTTGTCTGCATGGATTTTAAGAGTCTTGGCCCTAAGATTGAGAGTCTCTTGTTGCCAGAGGACACATCCTGTCAGGTAGAAAAGTCTAATCAGGAAACTATATTATGTTTTAAAAGTTTGTTTGCTGCAGACCTAATCAGAACAGAAGTCAGATGTTCCTGTGCAAACATCCTTTAACTTGGTGCTGGGTGAAATACCCTATACCCTTCAGCAGTCCGAGAATATTTTTCACTTCTGGTTAATTCAAGTTTTTCTCCATACCTGTCTTGCTGAATGTGTCCTCCTTCTGCAAGTTATACCATCATTTTTCTCAACACCGTTTCAACTAGACTTAACTTCAGTTTATGAAAATGCCTACGTTATATTTCCTTTTTTTTTTTTTTGGTGATGGAGTCTTGCTCTGTCACCAGGCTGGAGTGCAGTGGCGCAGTCTCGGCTCACTACAACCTCTGCCTCCCGGGTTCAAGTGATTTTCCTGCAACACCACGCCCAGCTAATTTTTGTATTTTCAGTAGAGACAGGGTTTCACCATGTTGGCCAGGCTGGTCTCTGTCTTTTGACCTTGTGATCCACCCACCTCAGCCTCCCAAAGTGCAGGGATCACAGGCATGAGCCACCGCGCCCGCCTGGCTGCCTGCATTATATTTCTAAATATTCTTCCTTTCTTCAGAGGATTACTCTATTTCAGTGGTTCTCAGAGAGCTGTGCATTGGCATCACCTGGGGAGCTTTTGCAAATTCAGATGTCTAGGCTGTACCCAGAGCAATTATATCAATCTCTGGAGATGGGGCCGCAGCAGCAGTATTTTTAAAGCTCTGAGGTGATTCCAGTGTGCACTCAAGGTTGAGATCAAATGCTCTATTAGACAGAAATCTCTGGAGTAAACTGCAAATTCCAAGCATGTGGTGTTCGTGCTGCTTGGCCACTGTATGGAACACCCTTGTAAAACAATGGGCCTCACCTACTGTTCGTCTGGGCGCGGTGGCTCATGCCTGTAATCCCAGCATTTTGGGACGCCAGCGCGGTGAAACCCTGTCTCTACTAAAAATACAAAATTAGCTGGGCGTGGTGGCTTGTGCGTGTAGTCCCAGCTACTTGGGAGGCTGAGGCAGGAAAATCGCTTGAACCTGGGAGGCGGTTTTCACTCCATTTAAACAGAACTTTCAGCCAAGGCCAAATCCAATCAGTTATATGTCTATAGCAAATCTTATAATAGCCATCAAATTATAAAAAGTTAACTTTCCTTCTCCATGCAGTAAATACTTTTTCTTTTTTTCCCCCCAGTTCCTTGAGAGAATCAAGATTCGTTTTTCATTATATTTAATTGTTCCCTCCATTTTCCTTTCTAAGCCCTCTCAGATTAATCTTCAGTTTTGATTTTTAATAACTTTTTAAAATAAATTTACTTGTGGGGAGGTTAGATTAGAGATTTGGTTGGTGATTTTTAGGTACTTTCACCTGCTTTTTAATACAGAGTTACAGAAGTTTTTTTTCTTCGTTTAATAAGTTACTCACATACATTCCCAGATGACAGCCTATATGTTTCTGGATTCTTAGTGATGTTAGAACACATGGAGACATCAGGAAGCTCAGAGTATTAGGAAATCAAGAAAATTAAGAACTTAAAAGTACCGCAAGTTGAAGTACAAGGGGTCAGGCAGAGTATGGAAGAAGACTCAGATCCACATCAAGGCAAAAATGAAAATTTCTGTGATATTTTCCACCCAAGTGAAAAGAGACTGCTGGAGTATAAATAACATTTATTTTTTTCTTTGTTCTGTTGTTCTTCAGTTGACTGTAGGAATTAAGAGTTCTGCCTTTTAGAATACCCTGGGCATCTCTTTTAAAAACTGGACAGTAAAGAGAGAGACTTTTTTTTTAAAAAATGCATCTAATTGTCCCATGGCCCCACAGTTCCCATGAAAATGCCTTTTTTAGCTGAGCTGGTGGAAACCTTTCATTCCCTGTGGTCTGTCTCTAAAACGGAAGAGGGAAACTGATGCATTAAACCATGGGTTGATGACACATGGATTTGACTGCAAAACATTCCAGTACCAGCTGGAAGTGCTGCCTGGCTGGCCACATGTGATCCGATGTCAATCTGGGAAACAGATCAGTGGAACAATGATACCAAAAATAAGGTGAAGTGAATTAAAATTCATAGAGGAAAAAAAATCTAGCTGTACACCCTGGTAGAACAGAAGACCAACTTCCCAAAGGAAGAAAATTATAATGCAAATACTCCAATTCCACACATTTATGTTTGGACATTCTTATAACTGAAAAGACCGTCTGTGATTTCTGAGCAATATTTATAGCATATCCATAAAAGAACTGCTATTCTTTTTTTTTTTAAAAGGATGCTAAGTTAAAAAGTAAGTTGAGCAATCTACATTGATTTCAGCTCGTTTTCTACATACTTATCTGACAGGTATTAAAACTGGCAGATACTTTACTAGGAAAATCTGATTGGTCATTAGTGTTCTGTAGACCAAAGCAGGCAGTAGTAGCTGATTATTTCACCTTTCATTCAGTGGAGCTAGTTTAACACAGGCAAAGTGCTAATTACTTTCAATTATGGACTCCTTATTTATCTTGCCCTCATAAACCTCACTGAAAGGGACCCATATATGGTAAGAGTATGATAGGCTAGATGCAATGATTATTTCAAATAAAAAAATCTAATACATGGGCAGCAGTCATTGTTGCCTAGTAGGTTCACCTCATGATTATAAGATTTGTTTTCTAAATTGTTTATG